ATCATAATAAAGCTAGTTACTTTTCATATATTCGAACTTCCTATATTACTCAATTTCTTCGATCATTATAAGAGAGTGATTCTATTTTTATACGTGGACCCATGCAAACAGAATGTGCATGAAACCGCCACTGATCATGTCGCTTTCCTCGCCACAGGAGAAACGAAGCTGCAGAACAAGGGTGGGGTACAGTGTAGGTGACAGGAGAAGGGTAACAGGAGAGACCTGCAGCGTGGGTGTATATGTAGCTACTTTACGATACACGTGGCGACGCATTATTTTCGCCCGGCGCGGCCGTCGACACTTTTTACTTAAACGCCGAATTTCAATATCGCCAACATGGAGTCGCATAACGACTAACGACAGCGTTTCGAGGAAAAAAGAACACGATAAAAATCAAATATTCACATTCCGTCAAATCAAGTTCAGATCCGACGTATAATTCAGATTCAATACGAACGTTACCCCATATCTGTCTTTTGTGAGTTATCTTACTTAAGATAACTCACGGCGCTGCTTCGGCAATTATTTCGCAGCGATTTACAGCACATTTGCAGGACTTTATCCTCGCTTTTATTACTTATCGTGCCCCCGCGATTGCGAAATGGAAGGTAAAGAGGAGGAGGCGGAGGAGGATTAAGAGTTACTCTGAATAAAGAGACTGAGATCTGCACAAACCGGTACCACCAGTATACCATACTAACTCTTGCATCGATGATGGAAAATGCGCCCGTGTCTCAAGAATAGACGCGTCCTTTCTGCTCACCATCATACGAATATATGTTACAATTGAATAAAATTGTGCCGCCAATATCTTGAACATTATCTAATGTAATTACATTATACAATACATATCCGATACCACACGAAAAGTTAAATGACACTTTTTGTCTTCCACATTAAGATATTCTAAATTAAAACTCTAAAATTATCGTCTTACAATTAAATATTAATTAATTTAAAAAATATTTTTGCTTATATATGCAATGTATCAAAACACTGCAAGAATGTCCGTAAGCCGTTTACATAAGGCATTGACACTCAAGAGAATTCTCCCAGCCAGATCTCAATTTTCCCCAAGCGGTACACGCATATATACAGGTATATATGTTACGATAAAAAAGGTCTCAATCCGTGGGCGACGTGTTAAACGTCAGTCGTTCGAGCGCTATACGGTTAATTCCTTACGAGAGATTAATATTCGGTCCTCTCGGGACGATTATCGATGTCAAACAACACGGACGTGTGGATTCGATGTTTACTCGATACTGGTGTATCGAGATTAATCATAGTGTCCTCGGCTCGTGCGGCTTCTCATAAATCGACGCTAAGCGCGCGCGCAGATATTGTAAATATACGTAGGATTAATATCGCCCGATTTATAAAGGCAGCTGGGCAACAAGATGTTAAAAGGCGCGCGCCGGGACTGGCCGGTCGACAGAATAGAGAATGGTGGTTTCCTGTTGAAAGGAGACCACGTACTGTCGCGCGGACACCTCGGCGTGAGGTCACTTCGGCGTGACGGTGTCGAGTCATTCCACGAGTACGTATCTGCCCGCGCACGCACGCACGCACGCACGCATGCACGGTTTTTTTTTTTTGCAAATGTACTCCCTCATAATCAATGCATCCCACGCGACAAGATCGTTTAAATGAAAAAGCGATCATCGCCGCTCGTGTTACGACGCTTAATACGCGCGATGATTGATGCGCGGCTAAATTAGACACGCCGCGCGTTTCTCTCGTATCAGATATATTTATTTATTGCTTCTTTCATTTTTCTTCTTCTGTCGTATCTGCTTTCGGAGCCACGTTCATTACCGAG